TTTCATCTTATCCCCCACCGCCCCTCCGCCTCCTTTGCTCCCGGTGTCCCTGGTCTGCTGGAGATGGTCCCCAGCAGCCCAGAGGCACCGGGAGCAAAGCCGCAGCGGCGGCGGGGTCCCGCACTTCTGAGGCTTTGCCACAGCAAAGCCTCAGAGGCGCGGGACCCCTCTGCCTCCCCGGCTTTGCTCCGGGTGTCCCTGGTCTGCTGGAGATGGTCCCCAGCAGACCAGGGGCACCCGGAGCAGCTTTTCTCGCCCCGGAGGTCGAGATGGCGAGACCGCTGCGCTCTGGGCGGTCCCGCTGCCTGCGAGCTCCGGGGTGAGAAAGCCCCGTTCGTAAGTGCGGATCCGACATAAGTCGGATCCACGTAACTCGGGGACTGCCTGTACTATCTCTACAGTTATGACTCACAATCAGACTCTACTCTGGATCTTTCTCCCTTACCCCTTCCATGATAAAAAATAGAAAAATCAAACGTAAAAAGCTAGGAAGATGGTGAGTAGTGATTATTACTTTTGCATGGTTAATTAAGTATTGTGCACATCCTGTTGTTTCTGTGATCCTGTTTTTCTGCCACCGTATCTGAACCCATTTATTTGCCTCCTCTGTTATGTAGTGTCTTCTAGCTTGAAAACCTTTCATATTTATATGTATGTTTGTACATATAAAACATTTGTGTGCTGTATACTGTGTTAGTGCCTAGCACAATGAGACTCTTCCCTGGTTGGCCACTAGTAACGTAAATGTTAAATGAACAAACAATAATAATAATAATTATTTGATATGATTATAAGACCATTTACTATAACAGTAGATAAATAATAAAAGTATAAAATAATAGTAACAAGAAGATTACTGACAGGAATTATTTGATAACTGCACAAAGCACATGTTCTGGCACACCTGTACATTAACACAATTAAAATGCAGATCGTGGGCCTGTTACATCATACATTACAAAAACCACACAGTTTTGTATGATACACATATTTAAAAAGAAATATAATTTTAAAACATTTTCCTTACTTCTTTGACAAGTGGTGCCTCTGTATCCTGGTGCACACTCACAGATTCCATCATCTGGAGAGCACGAAGCTCCATTTTTGCAGTAGCAGGACAACGAACAGTTTGGACCCCACTGTCCCTCAGCACACACACTGTCACAATGCATACCTGCAAGCCATCAAACACATAGAGATGTCACCAGCAGCAAGAGTGGTCAAGTTCTATAGACCACAGTAACAAACAAACAGAGGAATTTGCAGAGGTCGCAAAACTACTCAAGATAGTGAAATCCCAGGCAGAATTCAAAGAGCTACAAAAGAATCTCTCAGAACTGGATGACTGGGCAACTAAATGGAAGATGAAATTTTAATACTGATAAATGCAAAGCAATTGGAAAACATAATCCCAACTATACATTTAATATATATGGGGTCTAAATTAGGTGTTCCCATTAAAGAGAGAGAGAGAGAGAGAGATTTTGGAGTCAGTATGAATAAGTCTCTGAAAACTCAGTGTGCAGCAGCAGTAAAAAAAAGCCAACAAGGTTGGGAATTATTAAAAATAAATCGATAGTAAGTCAAAAAGGCAGCAGCAGTCTTTATATAAATCCATGGTACACCCACATCTTGAATAGTGTGTGCAGATGTGGTCACACCATCTCAAAAAAAAAAAGGTCTAGTGGAAAAGGTTCAGAAAAGAGCAAAAAAATGATTACTGGTATAGGATGGCTTTCGTATGAGGAGAAACTAATAACACTGGGATTTTTCTGCATGGAAAAGAGATGAACAAGGGGATAAGATTGAGGTCTGGTGTAGAAAAAATAGACAAGGAAATGCTATTTATTCTGTCCCATAACACAACAACTAAGGGTCACTCTATGAAATTAATAGGCAGCAAGTTTAAAACAAACAAAAGTATTTCTTCACACAATGCACAGTCAATCTGTGGAACTCTTTGCCAGAAGATATTGTGAAGGTCAAAATTATAACAGCGTTCAAAACAGAGCTAGATAAATTAATGGAGGATAGGTCCATCAATTACTATTATTCAGCATGGGCAGGGATGGTGTCCCTGGCCTCTGTCAAAAGCTGGGAATGTGTGATAAGAGGTGGATCATTTGATAATTACCTGTTCTCTTCATTCCTTTTGGGGCACCTGGCATTGGCCACTGTAAGAAGACAGGATACTGGTCTAGGTGGACCTTTGGTCTGACCCAGTATGGCTGTCCTTATGTTCTTATGGGTGAAATCCTGGCCCCATGGAAGTCAAGGGCAAAACACCCATAGATTTTAATAGGATCAGGATTTCATATTATTCCTTAATCATGCTCTTCTTACTGCCTCTGCCCTTCTTGGACTCTGCAACACTGGAGCCTTTTATATCCCCACTTTGGTGATGTATGTGCAGGACTGGATCCTAAGCTCCAAAGTAGGAAAGCATCTCTGTTTCCACAGAACATATGAACTATATGAGATTGTACCTCCAAGCTTCATTCCCGCTGAGCTTTTAAGGTCTGCAAAACTAAAGTTAAGCCACAATGATTTAAGAAACTTTTCAGATGCTTAGCTTCATCTTAGCAGAGCTTAACACTTCCATGGGGCTGAAGCCTTCAATTATCCAAGCCTTAAGTACTTCAAAAGTTTTTAGCATCTCCCATGACCTTTACACAAGCAGACCTTGTCCTCCCCTCATTTTCACCATAGGTGTGTTCTGTGCATCAGCTGCAAAGAGAAATGAAGTGGAAAAGTACAAAATAATCCAAATATGTCATAAAGAACGGCTTTTGGTTCTTTAGTGGTCATTCCAGAATAGCACTGAATCACAGAATCACAGAAAATTAAGATTGGAGGAGGACTCAGGAGGTCATCTAGACCAACCCCCTGCTCAACGCAGGACCAACCCCAACTAAATCTAAGCAGAAGCTCAGTCACTTTTATGCGAGGAAAATATACAAGACAAAACAAGACAAGCTACTGTAGAAACTTGTCTCCCGAATGTTAAAATTCTTAAGCCATGAGATAATTTCATGTAACAATAGTGATGGGGACAAGGAATGACTTCTAATTAGTGGTGAGCTGATTACCACTAAGCCTCATACCAAATGAAAAAATGTGGAGCACACAAAAGCTTTCAAAAAAACACCACGTGAACATTCCAAAATGCTTAGCTGCAACACTCTAGTAAGGACATCAGTCATTCAGAGTTTTGTCTGTTTTGGGCATAAAACTGAATATAAAATTGCCCTGACTTTAAGCCCAGTACATAAACAGGCATAAATCAAAATATCAACTGGAAACTGGAATCATAGACATTTTTGCTTTATAAACCAGCAACACTAAATCTAACTTTCCTGATTTTCTTTTTTTTCTACCCACTTCTGAAAGGACCCCAGCATGTTAAATGCCAGTAAGCAACCACTGTGGTACCCAGACCTTATTGTGTCTACAATACTTTGAATTAGCAACGGACGATTATTGAACTGCCTCTATTGACTGAATCATTTGGCTAAAGAAAAAAATGGACTAAATCCAGCCAGAAGCACGACTTGCTTTGTAAGTATTGCCAGCATAATATGGTTCTGGCCACTTATAGTCAGACTTTTCTAAAAAGGCAAAATAGAGAGTTTCACGTGTAATATTAGAGAAAATGTTCTAAAAATACTGACAAGTGACTATCTAGTGTTAGTGAAATGCTGAAAATAACCCTTGAAAATAAATGAACCTATTCATCCATGCAGGCACAATGTAATTTCCCCCCTCCTCAATCCCCACAACAACTGCTCTGCCAAACTGCCTGAATCTAATTAAGGAATGATTACGTCTCTGGTGAAAGGAAAGGTGAGTCTCCAGATTCTTAAATCTTTGGCCTCTCTGTTGAGATTGTTAAAAAAGGGGACCAAAATAGTGCCAAGAGTAGTGAAAATATCTATTAGAGTCCAGATACATGTCACAAAACAGTCATAAGATAACAATCCTTCAGTTAATATTGATCCGAACAGAATTTTTATTGCCATCAGGTGAGAACTGTAGTTACATACCTGAATATGGACTTATTTAGTACCCAAATTTGAAAGCTCTGGCCTGGGTTTCTGAGTTTGTAACTCTAGCTGACAAAGATAACACATTTCAGAATTAAATTGTATACTATCTGTCTTAATTCATACTATTTGTACATTATCATACACAGCTTCACATAGTGGGATCCTCTTACAGTGAAAACATGTTTTTCACAGTTTCAGTGAAGGTAAGTTCAATTTCCATATACAATGATCACTAGCAACAAATCAGCATTTGCCAACAGCTACCATAGGGTATGTCTACACTACAGCGCTAATTCGAACTAACGCATCCAGACTAAAAAACTAGTTCGAATTAGCGTTTTGCTAATTCGAACTAGCATGTCCACACACAGTGGACCCTGAACCGGGCTTAAGGATGGCCGGAAGCAGTGCCGGCAGGGCATCAGATGAGCACTTAGAGCATGGAGCTGCTGTCTCAGGCTAGCCGAGGGCTGTGCTTAAAGGGATCCGACCCCCACCCTGGACAGACAGTTCTCAGGGGTGCCCCACTTGCAAAGCAGTCTTGGCTTGGATTGCCCGGAGTACCCACACTGGGCACATCACAGCACTCAGCCATCAGACCGGCTGCACTTGCCGCAGGCTGCCATCTGGGGAGAGGAGGCAATTGGGGGGCTGCAGGAGAGCTTCCACCCCCAGAAGCCCACAGAGCCAGCCCAGTCCTCCCCATCGGGGGCTCGTACTCCATTCCTCCCTCACCTCCTTCCACTTACCCCTCCCTAGCCCCACCTTCCTGATGTACAAAATAAAGGGCAATTGTGTTCAAAAATAGAATCTCTCTTTATTGAACAAAACTGGGGGAGACTGGGAAAAGGAGGTGGGAGAGGGGAAGAGAGAGGGTGGGAGAGGGGAGGGCAACTACAATGATGAGGGGTTTGGAACAGGTCCCATATGAAGAGAGGCTAAAGAGACTGGGACTTTTCAGCTTAGAAAAGAGGAGACTGGGGGAGGATAGGATAGAGGTCTATAAAAGCATGAGTTGGGTAGAGAGGGTGCATACAGAAAAGTTCTTCATTAGTTCCCATAATAGAAGGACTAGAGGACACCAAAGGAAAGGAATGGGTAGCAGGCTTCAAACTAATAACAGAAAGTTGTTCTTCACAAAGCAAAGAGTCAACCTGTGGAACTCCTTGCTGCAGGAGGCTGTGAAGGCTAGAACTAGAACAGAGTTCAAAGAGAAGTTAGATAAAGTCATGGAGGTTGGGTCCATGGAGTGCTATTAGCCAGGGGGTAGAAATGGTGTCCCTGGCCTCTGTTTGTGGAAGGCTGGAGA